AACATGCCTAAATCAATCGAGGAAACAGTCCTGAAATCAATCGAGAAATCCTGCAACAGGCCAGGAAAAATCAAGCGGATGCAGTATGTGTATTCAATCGAACAAGATCGAACAACATATGCGATTCAATTGAAACACACCAGAATCAAGCGTGTTTTGAATTTTTGAAAAATTCAAGCGTTCGATTGAAAAAAATCAATATCCGATGCTCTGGGCTTGCTGAACATGCCGAAAACAGCAGTAACTGCACTACTCTCCGAGTCCTTGTTGCCGTACCACTTCGTGATCGCCTCGTGGATGAACTCTCCTCAACGAAGGGCTTCCAGATCCACTAGTTCGCTCAGCATGTGGTTCCCAACGACTGACACCAAGGCCCTCGGCCAGTCCGCTTGGCGCCTCACCTCTAACAAGCCTGGATGCCCTGCTCTGACTGCAGCTCAAGGCTCCATCAAACTGATTCGAGCAGGAGACTTGATTGAGATCCTTGTTGGGTGCTACAGATCAAACTCCGGAGGTAAATAATCAAAAGTGCATGTTGGCTCATACGCATTTATTATGTATTGTACATGGCTGGCAATGACAAGCATAATCGCGCGATGCCGGCATCAGGTCAGTGGCTTGCCATGTAACGCATGCATGACCATGCAGCTCTGTACTCTGCACTCTTGCGTTTTCAAGCGCTGAAGTTTAACGGCATTATGTCATAGTATAGACCCCAATGCCTAAACCAGTATACCCTAAACCCTGAACCCTAATAAAGTATACTGGACAATGATATACGATAATAACATACAGGCATATATACTATAACATAATACAAGATACTACCAGATACTGCAGAAACATAACATAAGCACATCTGAAGTAACAGATAATATGCAATGTGCCAATGTAACATGACATGATATGATGTGATACAACTTGATATACATAACATCATAAAAGCTATGAAGAGAGTAGATAGTACGTTATCTTATCTTGGTATTTGACTGTTTGTTTATTATAACGCTTTGTACCATATCATATGATGTGATTTGATGTGGTATGATCTTAGGTCACCTTATCTTATACTATACTATACTATACTATACTATACTATACTATACTATACTATACTATACCATACTGTCATTTCATATTTCAAGATGATCTAGAACCTCGCTAATCATTGTAATGCTCTAAAACTTCCAAATTCTGGCATCTATTGCTGGGTGGGGAATCAAAGCTCGAAAATCTTGAAGTGTTTGCCTTGTTGAGCATTACGGTGCTAGACAAGGTTCAGGACACGAAATACTGTAATGCTCAAAGCCCTCCAAGAATTCCGAACCTTAACATCATCGAACATACGAATTTCCGGCAACTATGGCTGGGTGTGGAGCAAAGATCTCGACAGACTTGACAAATTTGAATTTGTGCGCACTGCACTGATTGATGAGCTCAAGTTTTCGAGATTTTACATGCAATTCAACTTGACCAGATTTCCCGCTGTCGGTGCCCATCGGAACATCCGTGCTCTCCGCCTGATATTTTGCTCACCGTTTGCTGTCACCCGGGTTGCGGCCTTTCAAAACAACGGCATATGCATGCATCTTTCTGCACAGGATGTCTGCAGCATGAGACATGATGCGAACCCATTCCGTGAGCGTAGCAGGACATGTGTTGCACGACTCTACACATGAAGAGCTGTGCTGAGGACCGGTGCTCTTCGACTGCGCCAGCTACAAGGCGCAGTTGAAGCAGTTTGGAAGATGCTGAAGACGAGGAAAGAAACTCAAGTTACAAAGTTACGGACAGACACCCACACCCACCCACCCACCCACCCACACACACACACACACTTGAAGGCCGTCATAGCAAACCTAGAGTGCACGAAGCTCTGCCAAACCCGTTGAAGACGGCAGCTTGCCTTCGGGTCGCTCACACAAGCTAACGCACCATCCAAAGCGTGACATAGTTTCCGATAGCAAGTCCTTCAGAAGCCCCCGAACGCCTCTTCAGGGGCAAGTTCTAGACACATCTGGATGCAAGACCAGGAACGAAATGCTCCAAGTCATAGAGGAGCTGATACTTCGTTCGATAATTTTTTCTGAGACCTCAGGTCGATCTGCCAGCATCTCGTTCGTTCAGCTGTACTTCAGGTCGGGATATGGTTTGCTGATCTAGCCAAACCGGAGCTGGAGCAAGTGCGGAACTACTCTTTCCGATTCTCGACATCATCCTTGCCGGAGAGCTGTGCACAGCGAGTCCGAAAGGGATGAACATGGCCATGTATCCTCAGCAACGGCTGGCAAGGAGCCCCGCAGAACCTCTCCCCATCCTGTCTTCCCCTTACACTGCCTTACACTGCTTGCACTTCAACGCTGTGTTTCGATGCCTCTCTGGTGCGGGCGTGCAGCTAAGAATAACGTGCACTGAAACACGGCAACCCAGACAACGAGTGGATCCTGGGATCGTCTCCTAAATTCCTGTACTGTTGCAGACAGGGTGGAGTTCGTCCCAGCTTCCAAAGCGCGCCAGGAACTGGGAGTCGCTGCTGGCGCTGGCTGCCAGTATGCAGAAGTTCGCCAGGTAAACGCAAAGCACCTGCTGCGCACGAAACAACGGATGGCAAGGCGGCTCTGTAAGTGTGTCTGACCTCATCTATGGATGCGACACCTGAAGCCAAGAATGATCAGGACTCTCCAACTTAGCGAGAACGATGTGATCCGTTTCAGCTCAGGATTATGCGCCAGGGCACCGACAGAAGAATCGTTCGCTCGACAAAAAGCGGTGCGAAGGTGATCTTGCCATCGGGATTCACCTGAACACCCCGCAGCATACGGTCGGCAGCCATTCTCCAACGAACACCGATCTCCTTACGATGTGAACGAAGCCTCTTCAAGAGAAGGCCACGGGACCTCCCTGATTCTTGCGGCGCATGATCCTTCTGAGCCCTCCTGCCCCTGACCGCAAGTCGTTGCCCAGTTGCTTTGCGATAGGCTGCCAATTCGAAGACACACCAAAGCCTCCGGCGCATTCCGCTATCAAACAACACAACGATCGGCAAACTTTTAGCAATTGGGATGTAAGAAAAGTTGCTGCTCAAGCCTCGACAAGTACGGAGGGCTCCACAAAATCCGCAACCTTAGTTTCTAGCAGGATTCGCGCAATATTCTCTAAGATTGGGCACACCCGACGACCTCCTTTTCATCATCATCAGCGTCGTCGTCATCATCATCATCATCACCCTCATCAGAAGCAACGCCCGCACCATGACGAGGGCGTGGCGCTGGTGCTGGTTGTGACAATGGTGGGTTCGGATGGTGGCAATAATGGTGCTGGTGCTGTGGTTGGCGGTTGGCATTGGCGGTGGCAGTGGTGGCGGTGGTGGCGGTGGTGGCGGTGGTGGTGGTGGCGGCCGTGGTCCTGCTGGCGCTGTCGCTGGCGCTGCCGACGGTGCTGCCGGTGATGCTGGCGGTGGTGATGTCGGTGGTTTGGCTGGTAGTCATGGTGGTGGCGGTGCTTCTGCCAACGGTGGTGCTGGCTGCTGTTGGTTTTGCTGGCGCTGGTGTGGTGGAGACCACGGTCACCACCGCCAGCACCAGCAGCGCAGCACGACCAGCACCACCACAAAATTGATATTCTCCTGCTGCTGGTGGTGGTGGCGGCGGCAGGTGGCGGTGGCAGCCAGAACAAAGCCAATTGCGGTTCTGTCCAGCACACACAAGTATGGATCGATCTGGGTTCAATCATCCAGCTTGCCTTGAACTACACTCGTTGGATGTAGACGATGGATACATCTCACAGAGTGAACAACGGCACTCATTTCAATGTCCTATGGCAGCTCGGGGGCTCGTGGGAGATTCTCAAGAAGCCGCCGATGCCGTAAATTCCCCTTTCCATCAAATCCGTGTCCGTTTGGTGGATACTCGCCACCTAAGCTTCGCTTGACTGGATGTGCAGTGGGGCCTACGGGTCCTTCCTTCATCACGTCTCAAGGCTCAGGTCAGAGCACCTCATGGGGTGGATAAATGTGGATAAGCCACCGAAAGTCAAACAGCAGAAACCCGTGACACCCGAACACGCGGCAATGCCGGGGCGACGTCGATGTTGCATTACGCAGCAAGACTACAGTGCCAAGGGCAACACAAACGCACTTCCTGCCGATTCTCCGCCGGCTGAGGCTCCCACGTCTAGGAAGCAAAGCTCATCTTTGTAGAGGCCAGCTCCATATGGAGCAATGACAAGGCCGATCAAGGAAGCCTCGACAGAGGCCAAGAAATCAGGTGCGTGGGTGTCGTGTGGACGCAGAGGGATTCCCGGCTGCTCGACAAGACTGCAGCTCTCCGGGGGACGCTCTGAGCCGGGGAGCCACGAATGAGCAAAGGAGACACCAGGGCCCAAGCGGGCACTCCTTGGCTCACGGGAGGGGAGGCGAGCTGCGTGTTTTGAAGTTTTGGCCTCCAGAGCTTTGGCCAGAAGCAAAGAGTCTGAGTGCCCAAAGACTCCCCGCATGATTCGACGTGGCATGTAAGCTACAGCTCCGGCCAGGCCGAGGGCCGAGTCGCAAGGAGACCCTCGGATCCTGCTATTGCAGTCGAGCAGCATCGCTGAAGTCGACAATGTCAGGCTGGAAAGACAGGGGTGCCGGAAGCACGTCTATCTGCCGCAGTAGAGTGGCCACGGCGACCTTCACAATGGACGATTTGAGCATCCCCGGAAACCGTCACAGCCCTCGGGCCGAGAGGCGGCTAGGCCCCAGATCAAGAGGACGGTCTGCCAGCCAAACTGCAACATGAGCGTCAGCACCTGCCGGTGAGCTTATGCAAAAGGGAAAGGCATGCCGATGGCTAGAAGCTTCACGCATCAGGTTCGCGAAGGTTGTCACTAGGACCGCGCTCGCCAGCCAAACCGTAACGTGCGCCAACCAAAGGACATGCTTGGTGTCCTAGGGATAGTAGTTTATGTAGCGGTTGTTTTGCGCTGTGCCACTTCTTCGCTAGAGATTCAGAGGCACCAAGACACCTTGAACACCTGACTCCAATGAGCTATTGAGCTGCATGGCCCCAGCAACGGTTGGGCTTGATCCCCGAAGCCCTAAGGAAAACTACCAGAATTCATCTGCGCCTCTGACCCGCATTCGAGACCAAGCCCCCAGCCTTCCACCTGCCCGCAGTAAACCAGGTGTGGGAGTAAAAGACATCGAAGTGGTCCGCCTAGCAGCACGGTTCTGTTTCTGTGGGTGTGGAAGCTTTTGTGTCAGGGTCTTTCTCCTGTAGCCGTCCGATGGGTACAAAATGAGACAAAAGCCACTGATGCGCTGACGTTTCCAAACTTGGAGTTCGAGCTCCGTTGAAGCACCACTTCATAGAATGCATACAATCGACATCTTCAGCCGGAAGTCCCGCTTTCTGAGAATTCATCAGCCTAGCGGCCTAATCCATGCTGCTCTCTCTGTCTCACCGTTTCCTGCACCTCTGCGGGATCGCAATACAAGGTCCAGCGCACCTCGATGGATTGGTTGTATATCGCCATGCGATCCTTCAACAGACAGAAAGCTGCGCGGTTCCAAGATAGAAACTCAGTGACGATCAGCCACAAAGAGCGCCTGCCCTACGGGCCCCGGCCGGGCCTCTGGGGAGAGCCGCGATGGGTTGTATCTCCAGATGGACCCGCAGCCTGCGGCCAGCCACGACCACTCGCAAGCTCCGCACATCGTCACCGTTGGTGCAAGCTTGCATCCGTGCCTCTCAGCGTCCTCGCAAGGGAAATGCCGCGGACGATCTCCTTCGCAAGAAGATATGCATTCTTCACGGCCAAGCCCGCAAGTTGCTGCGGGCTTCATCCCCAGCCCTCACAGCTCCTCGTCCACGGCCGAATACCGTCGCGACAAATGCCGGGTGAGGCGGCTGTCCGACCGCTGATGAAAGCGCTTTACACTACCTTGGAAGCTCTGAGAGCACTTTCAAGGATCGGCGTTGCACTCTGGAACCTTAAGGGATCCAAAGCATCGAAGGTGTACGGCTTACAGCATTGTTTACGCCAGCCCCTAAGTTCCTAAGGTAGCAAAAAGAAGCGACAGCTTTGTGTCGACCCAAGGACTCATCTTCGCCTCGCCCGAACAGCCTGAGGGTATCTCCACCGACCGTCGAACTTCCTGCCACAGGTCGGCAGAAGTCTCAGCAACTTCGATGGCATTCGGACGGACTCTTTTGCTTTCGGACATGAGTTTCAAGGCCTGCCATTACAGTACTTCAGCGGAAATACAGGTGCGACGAGTCAAGCTCATCTTCAGAAAAACATTCATGAAGTGCACTCTGTTTCTTTTACCTTTCCATGGACGCTTCAATACTGCATTGGCAACCTCGGTACTCGAGGCCCGACACAACTGTCCACAGCTTTTAGGATGGCCAGCAACAGCTGGTTCGGGGGCAGCATCCGCTACACGGCCCCCCGGATACCACAACCTAAGCCGGACAGCTACAAGCTGTGGTCAACTACTCACAGATCCCGCTTATCGGCAACTCGAGGGTAAACTCACCTCCGAACCCTGGAAATGAGAGACTCCACGTCGTATACTCCGGTACCGACTATGCCACTCCGCAACCAGGGAGCTCTCAGAACGAGTACACCGGCGAACTCGCTTCTCAGGTGCCGGAATATATAAGGAGGGCAGAGGCCTGTATGAGGGTGGGTAGGGCGGGTCGAAAAAGAAACTCCTGTCACTCAGGTACTTCTTGGAGAGTGCTCGCTATTTTGGCTAGTTGCTTTTGGCAACCCTGGGATCGGCTCATCTAGCTGATGTTGTTCTCCTCGAGGAGGGCCTGCACTTTGGCTGGCATCATAATGTTACAGGCTTTGCACCAAGGACGTCCCACCCGAGCTCGTCCAGAGGATCGTCGCAAAACCAAGTGGCCTCATCAAAGTAAGAGGCCACGTTGCGCCGGGCCTGCTTCCAGGCGCAAGCCGGCTGCGGCTTCTCTCGTTAGCTACCCTTGGCGACAGCATGGATGGCCGCCCCGCGCCGGACTCCGCACGCGAATAATTACATTGGCAACTCGACTCGCCTGCGGTGCAACTCGGGAGTCCGCTTGCTGCCGGAGCCACTTGCCCGTCGAAACGTTACGCCCCCACTACCTTCTCTGGCTCGATGGCTCGAAGGTTACGCGCACGATTGACGGCATACGATGAGCCCCGCAACTGTGCCACAATGGTCCCTGCAACACAGGGGGCACGATGCACACCTGCCATGCAATGGACGTAGATGGACTCGCCACTGCGAAGGGTGTTGATAATGCAAGGCTCGATTTTGGACCAATCATCTTTCCTGGAAGTGACCAAGTTGCGATGCAACGCTCCCTTGCGGGAGTAGGCACGCTTCTCCCGGAGCGACTTACGGAAGCAAGCGACAACAAGGCCGACGTTGTGGCGGGTGAACAGGTCCCGATAAGATGACTGGGACAACCCTCCCAGCAAGACCACGGGATTCACCTGATCAGCCCTGAACCTTGCCACAACAGTTGGTGGCTCCGGCTGGCCTCCATGGCCGGGGCGATGCCAGCGTTCAGACCCCACCTATCAAACAGCTCCTCCTCCTCCTCGCTATTTTGGCTTGATAGGAAACGGCAATGGCATCACATACATGCAAGCTCAAGTGGTGCAACCTACTTTCGCAATCACAGCCAAAATGCACACAAGAATTATTTCAGCTCACCAAGCCTGCCCGAAGGACTAAGCTGGACAAAAAACTCGTTGCTTCGGTCGGTGTCGACTCGAAATGACAAATCGGAGCATGAGAAGAAGCCGCATTGATGACCGACTCTCGGCAAAGGGCCATGGTAGAGATGGCGAGCATGCCCCGTTCAGAAGCGAGAGGCGATGTTGCATGCTGTCGCTAGGCCGCTAGGCAAGACTACAAGTAGCAACCCTGCAGAAAGGCGGTGGGCTAAGCCAGTTGGAAAGGGAAAAGGGATGTTGCAGAACAGCTGCATTCCTGGATGAAAGGATGCAGTCAAGTAGCATCGTCTACAACAGGAACCTTCAACAACAAGAGCAGTAGGGCGGGGGGAGAAAAGTCGAAAAGCCGAGCCGACAAGCTGGTGTGTCGAACTGCGCATGTCAAGCAGCAACCCTTGCCGTCGTCAGTTGGGAAACCCGGCAGCCTTTTTCGTTGGTAGTACACCCTGCAAG